TCAACCAGGCAAGATAAAATAAAGATTAGTTACAATATAGGAAGAATAGCATGAGATGCCAAAATATTTGCAAAATATAAAAGAAATGAGCCAGCAATAAAAGCCGCGTACATAGTTTTACATCGTTGTCTGTATAAAAATGTTCAAAGTATGGGTAACTGGCAAAGTGAACTAAAGTTCCTCATACAAGGAAGGAAACAATGTCATACAGTCATTAAACATAGTGGAGATGGGTATGGCCATCCCTGAACTATGACTCTGACAGGGTAACCCTTACTGAAGAAAAAAAGTTAAAATGAAGGTGATGGACAATATTACACCACATATTAAGGAAATATACTAACATGAGGGAATCCAGGAAACTGAGCAAGAAAGCATAGTAGAGAGCATTTGAATGAAGATCAAAGGAAGAAATAGAGGTGATATTACCATTGGCATATATTACAGACCACCTGGAAAGAGAGGTGAAATAGATGGACTTCAAAAATAGAATATTAGCCTTAGAACTTAACATTTTTGGGAGCTTTCTCCCCACAAAGTTATAGCTAATAATTTCTTGACTTACTGGCCATAATAATCAACAATGAGGAAAATAAACATTCTGGACCCTATTTTCATTAATAAGGAATAACTGGTTGCTGGAATGGAAATGATCAGAACTTTTGAAGAAAGCGACCACTTCTATTTCAGAACATGTGAAAAAAGGCAAGTAAAGTCAGGCGTAGTTTCAGGAATACTCTAAATTTTTGGAGAATAGACTTCAAAGAGTGCACAGAAAGTCCAAGTACTGACTAAAATTCTACAGATGAAGTTACTCCCAGGAGCTATGGGCAGCTCTCAATCAGATTTAGAAGACAGAAATGGAAATAATTCCAATAAGGAAGAAAAGGATAAGTTGTCATAAGGGTCCAATGAACAAGAAGTTACTCCCAGGAGCTATGGGCAGCTCTCAATCAGATTTAGAAGACAGAAATGGAAATAATTCCAATAAGGAAGAAAAGGATAAGTTGTCATAAGGGTCCAATGAACAAAGGAATTATCTGACCAACTCTGATTATAAAAAGACAAGTTCACAAAATAGAAATAAGGGCAATGACAGAGAATGAATCCAAAGCATGGCGTGATCCTATAATAATTGTGTCACAAACACTAAACATCAGAATGAACTCAAACTGGTAAAGAAGGAACAAGAAACAGAAGCAGTGGAAGAAGAAGAAGAAGAAGAAGAAGAAGAAGAAGAAGAAGAAGAAGAAGAAGAAGAAGAAGAAGAAGAAGAAAGAGCAGGAGGAGGAGGAAGAAATTCAACATGTCCAAAATAGAACATGTTATCCTTCTGCACAGACCCAGCTGTCTTACAAACTTTACTGTTTCTACTGAGGATTTGGGCCAGTTAGGTGGCACAATGAATAGTATGCCTAGTCTGGAGTTAGGAAGACCTGGGTTCAAATCCAGCCTCAGACACTGGCTATGTGATACTGGGTAAGTCACTTAACCCTGTTTGTCTCAATTTTCTTATCTATAAAATGAACTGGAGAAGGAAATGTCAAACCACTCCAGTATCTTTGCCAAGAAAACCCCAAATGGGATCACAAAGAGTTGGACAAGACTGAAAATGACTAAACAATAATACTGATGATTATGGCATTTTTTTCACTCAGTTTTGTAATCACAGCACCTTCCTCAACTCATTACTCTGTCTCACCCCGCATTTACAAATCAGTTGACAAATTACTTACTATTTCTATATCCACAAGATCTCTATATTCTGCTCCCTTCCCTCCACTCACATAGCCATGACTTTAGTTCAGGCTCTTATCACGTCTGTCCTAGGTTATTACAACATCCTCTTAATTGGTTTATCTGCCTCAAGCCAGTCTCTCTCCATTCCACTCGATTTTCCACCTGACTGTCAAAGTGATTTTCCTTCAGCAAAGATCTGACCATGTCACTGCCCTACTCACTACCCTCCAATGGCTCCCTATGGCATCTAAGATCAAATTTAGACAGACTCCACTCAGCATGTGGGGCCTTCTTCACTCCCTCCTGGCTTTTCAAGGATACAAGTAGAGCACTAGGTCTGTCTACCTATCATTCCTCAGCTTCACCACATGACTATTCTCTCTTCTCTTCTGACAATACATTTTTATCTTTGCCTTTAATTTTTCTTCAAAATTCTTCATTGGATTTATGTCACAATCTTCTGGAAATATGTGTATTTTAAGTACTTAAGCTGTTTCAGCAAACATGAATGTCAAAGAATTATTAGCTCACATCATTCAACTCAGTTTAACATGTTACTAAGTATCTACAGTATAGTAGGAACTATGCTATACACTGGGAATACAAAGACAAAAAAGCATGAGTCCTTGTCCTCAAAGAATTTGTTTTATGGGGAAAACAACAAGTTCATAGACAAGTAAGTACAAAATTCATAGCAAATAAATACAAATTAATATGAGAATGGGGCAAGGAGAGCATAAATAATGGGGGGGGCAGGGAGGAGTCAGGAAAGGCCTCCTGTGCAGAAGTGGCATTTGAGCTGAGACTAGAAGGGATCCAGGGATTCCAAGAGACTGAGATAAGGAGAGACGGCATTCCAGGTATGTGAGATAGTTTGTGCATGAGTACAGAGATAAGAGATGGGATGTAATGTGTGGGGCAAATAAATCAGTTTTTCTGAAATGTATGTAGAGTGCATGAATAAGGATGATGTGAACTGTTCTAGAAAGATAGGTTGAAACCTGGGAAGACTTATATGAACTGATGCAAAGTGAAATGGCAAGAACTGGGAGAATATAGAATATATTGTACTATGACCAACTGAGAAAAACTTAGCTATTCTTAGCAATACACTGATCCAAGACAATTCCAGAGGACTTATTATGAAAAATGTTATCCACTTACAAAAACAGAACTGATTGGGTCTGGATGAAGACTGAAGCATACTTTTTTTACTCTATTTTTCTTGTGGTTCAGTTTGGTTTTTTTTTTTTTTGGTTTCTGTTTTCTTTTGCAATATGGCTAAACGGAAATATGTTCTGCATGACTGCACATGTATAATCTATATCAAATTGCTTGCTTTCTCAAGAATGGGAGAGGGACATGAGAGAGTGAGAGACTTTGGAACTCAAAATTTGAAAAAGTAAATGTTAAAATTATTTTTACATGTAATTGAGAAAAAATAAATTTTAAAAAAAATTTAAAGAAAGATAAGTTGAAGCCAGATTGTAAATAATAGATCTTTTAATGACAAACAGAAGAGTTTACATTGAGAGCCACTGAAGCTTCCTGAGTAACATGGTCAAGTCTGTGTAGGAAAAGAGATGAGGGATATTCTCCTTGTCCCATCCATCATTCATCCAGAATCACAGAAATGATGAAAAAAAAGTCATTTGGGTTATAGTATTTAAAGAGTTTAACCCTGTACCCCAAAAGAGATCTTCCCACATACTCCCCTAACAAACAACCCCCCCGCTCAACTATGAGGGTTCCCATAATAGAGAAATCATCAAAATAGAAACTAACCAAAGTATGGTGCCCCATGAAACACATTTTCTCTCTGAAAAAAATGAGACTATGCTCATCTTACACAGAGGACCTACCAACCTCAGCATCAGGGTCCTCTCAGCACATTTGCATGGGGACAGGGTCCCGTATTCAAGGATTGAGGAAGAGGGCAGTGAAATCATTCAACAGCAACTAAACAAGCTGCCCAAGGTAGAGGAAAGGAGCATATGAGTCAGAGATCTCTTGCTCTGGCCATTGCAGTGTTGTTCCAAATATAATACCCAAACTGCAGAATGCCGAAGTCCATGTCTCCATGTGTGATAGATTCTCCAAGAGAAACATTAAGTATATTTTCATTGACTTGCAAAATTTATACTAATTTATTCATATTTACCAATATGCTCACTTTCTTAGACTCTTTGTCATCACTGCCTTTTTTAATTGATCTTTATATCACTAAGTGAAAACTTTACATGCATTAGTCAGGAGAAAATTTATTACTTCCCCAAAAAGCACCAGCTCCCATGAAAACTGAACAAAAAGGAAACTTTCATTTAACTAGTATTGGAACAGGAAAAGCAAAGTATATTCTTAAGAGTATATTCATACACACACACACACATACACTTATGCAAACATACCCACAAACATGCCTGGTTTTATCCAACCAGTTGGGTTCTGGGCAGGTGAACCAGTACTAATTTTCATAACTGTGTGTACATTTAAGAGGGATAACCTCACAACTAAATATTTAAGGTCAAAAGAAGTAAATGATCAGAGAATTCAACATAGAAAGAAGCATCTGCACTCTGTTTTTGGTTTGATTCTGTTTTGGTTTTTTGGTCAGAAAATCGTAATTGCTTGAGAGTGAGAGTTTTGCCTGAATTACCTTTATAATTGCCTTAATTTTCTACTTCACTTTTTTTCAGTGGTGATCAGGCTACCCTATGTTGTTATTACATCATTACACTTTATGAATTCAAAGGGAGTTCAAAACAACAAAGATAGAACTATAGTAACATTTCATTATCCATAGGTCATTTATTGAATAAACACCCATCCAGAGCACAGCAGTGAACCTGAAAATAAAAAAATAATTTTTCAAAACCTATCCTCTGCATGGGCAAAATAAATGTAACAAAATCTTGAACTCAATCGTATGCACTTTACTCATAGGCAAGCCCTTCGGGCCTTATTTAGAACCTCTCAATTCTTATGTTCAACACAATTCTAACAAGCTTTGTTGTTGGTTTTTTCAGTCCCTATCAACTTAAGAAAATTGGTTTTTATTTAGAAAAAAAATGGTCACCATAACTATAGAGACTAGCTGCTATGTATAAAGATGTTCCGCTGGGAAAATACATTGAGAATTCTAATTTGGGAAATCTGGAGCACATCTCCTCTTACCCAAGCTGCAGTGGGAGGGAGTTCTTCTCTTGTGCCCAGTTGGCAACGGAAAGGGGGACTCCCACAGCTCCAAGCCACTGTTTATAGCTCCTGGGGCTTGAGAAGCAGGCTTTAGCAGGAGGAGAGAAATGAGAACAGGATGAGACACTGCAACAGGGCCCTCTGAGGTAAGAAAAGGGATGGGATTCTAATGAGCCAGGGGTAAATATCTATAAGATATGGGACTTCTTGTCAATGTAACCCTCCAAAGAAAAAGTCTGTCCAACCGGGCATCCCCTTGTTTTTTTTTTCTTTTTGTTACCTCAAGAGTTTACTCGACTTGCTGGTTTTCAAATGCCAAGGGTTAAAAGGCTTTCTTAAAAAAAATTAGTAGACACTACAGGAAAAGTTGCTGGTGAAGTGTATTGCTACACAAAAGTCTGAAGCAAAATTAATCTGTTTTAGAGGAAAAAGAGACTCGAGCTTTCCTGAACTCTGGAATGAAGAACAGGATATCTAGACTGATGAGGAGGAGGGATAAGTCAGAGGTTAGGAGGTTAATACTGGAGAAATACCATTTTAGATTGTTCCTGGGCAGCCTTCCTACCAGTAATATCCATTGTTTGTCAAGGCCAGTTAATCTCAAGGAGGGTATTCCTTCTTTGACCAGAGTGCCCTGTTTCTCTTCTGGATCTTTGCCTCAATCATAATTTGTCCCTGATATTATTAATGTCAGGATCCTTCTCATACCAGGACCTATATCTCTCTGTCCACTAACTACAGGACAGAAAAAGGGCCAATTTACTTCCTCCTCAGTTAGTTTTTAGCCCTTGTGTATAAATACAGAGGTGATAAAAGCCACCTTTTGCCTAAAATGTGTCTAATTGAGGAGGTGATCAAGCTGAGCTAAGAGGGTTTGAGAAAGCTAACCAGACACTAGGTACTCTACAAAAGATTTTTTTAAAATGGACTGGGGTATGAGACTCTAAACATGTCAATACTTGATGTCTGGTTCAGTGGGTAAAAGTGGCTATGGATCAAATAGAGATGGAGAAGGAAAGAAAGAAATAAGCATTTGTTAAGGACATGCTAAGTGCTAGTCATGGTGCTCAGCACTTTACAAGTATTATCTGTTTTGATCCTCACAACAACCCTGGGAGGGAGGTACTCTTATTATCTCCATTTTACAGTTGAGGAAACTGAGTTAGACAGAGGTTAAATAACTTGCCCAGAGTCACATAGCTAGTAAGTTTCTGAGGTTGGATTTGAGGGTCTTCCTGATTCCAGTGCTATCCACTGCACTACCTAGATGAAGTGTGAAGAGCATTTAAAGAAAGTGAGAATAGAGAGGCTGAAATAAAAGAAAAAAAGTTAAACATAGAGTAAATTACCTGAGACTAGACTTGGGGTTATGAACCCAATACAAATAGTTTTAAAATAACAATGGATGAGGAAGGTTGGAGGGACACAATCACGAAGACTGGAAAAAAAAAAAGCCAAGTTCCCAGAATAGTATAGAGGCGAATTCATGGAATTTTTATGGGAGAAATTTAAGGAATTTTGCTAAGGCAGAGTTCAGGTGGCTTTGAGATTAGCAAACCTGCCCTGAATTTGAAGGGCAGACTTGGGGCTTATTCAAAAAAAGACTTCACTTTTGCAATGTTTAGAGTTGAGCCTAGGTCTGGGGTGAACCAGTGAGGTTCATAGAAGGTCATAGAAGGAGCAAAGCTTCTTGGAGGAGTGAAGGAAGCTCAGGGACAGCCTCAAGACTCAGACTAATGCTTTAATACTGTAAGTTGGGTTCATCAAGTCAGTGAAAATGTGTTCCTCTAAATTAACTATTCTTAATGCATAAAGTTCATACCCAGGGATTCCCTTGCATTGTAACAAAATGTCTTGTGCGTATCTAGATATTATGGTAGACTGAGTGGTTTTGTTCTGAAGAGGCTCCTCTGTGAGATGAATGACTTAGGAGATGTGGGATTTTATTTTTTAGGTCTTTTCCACAGGCAGCAGCAACATAAATTTAACCAAACAGTAGAGGCATCTCCCTGAGAGTCCCAAGCTGTGAATAGAAAAGTGGTTAAAATACTGAACTTGGAGTCAAGAGGACCTCGGTTCAAGGACTGCCTCAGATACTAATGGCTGTGCGGTACAAGGTTGGTCACTGAACAGCTCTGTGACTCAATTTCCTCATCTATAAAATAAGGGGTTTGGATTGGATGACCTCTGAGGTCCCTCCACAGTCCCCCCCATTTAGGGGTTGTGTTCTGTCTAAGGAAGATAACCTATTAAGTCATTATTAATCATTAATTTCCTTAGCATGAATCAGTTCATCATAACAGAGCCAGTCACTTAACAAAGGCCCTACATCAATGGGGCAAAAGGCCAGGGAAGTCATGAGAAAGGAAGGAGATGAAGAGAGGGAGGTGCAGATTACACAATATTGCCTGAGTTGAGACACCACAATGCGGAGTCTTGGCAACAAGAGAACATTAGGCACTTGGGTGAGGAGCAGAACATCACAGACAAACTTCATCTATTTTATAATTTTGCCAAGATCCTTCCCTGAATGTAGGAAATTATGGCAAATTAGGATATACAAAAACATATAGAGTTTTTCCCCATTCCCTCAGAGTCCCAGCCAGGTGCAGAGAACACAGCGATACTACAAAAAGGTTAAAACTTGGAGACTAGGGCATCTGCGCTATTTGTAAGTTATGCAAGCAGAACTCCAAATGGTGGTCTCCCTCCCTCACTCCCTTAATGCTTTTCTTCATATGTGGGAAAACAAATCAAAATTAACTTCAACTTTTGAATGACAAAGTGATTAGAACAACAGACTTGAGGTCAGGAGGACTTGGGTTCAAATATTGCCTCAGACACTCACTAACTATGTGATATTAGGCAAGTCACTTAACCCCTCTGTGACTCGGTTTCTCATTTTTTAAATGAGAAGGTAAGATTGGATCACCCCTAAGGTCCCTTTCAGCTCTACATTTATAATCCTATGATCCACGGTCAAGTTATCTAACCTCTCTGACCCTCAGTTTCTTCCTCTGTAAAATGAGTAAGTTGGATTGAATGGCCTCTGAGGTTTTCCCAGCTCTAAATCTACCAACCTAAGTAGAAAATGGGGAGGAAAGCCTGAAAGGGATGTTCTGAGTGGGGTTAGAGGCTAAATGTTAAAGTGGGGAGGAACAGGCTCACCATCTTCATTTTACTGGGAGGCTTTGGGACTGAATGTAGATAAACGAGCCTTGGGTCTTCTTTTAATATCCCTAGCAGAGCCTTTTTGCTGTTTGTTCATGATAGATAGAAGAGGAAATAGTGGGGCTTAAGTTGCATTGTGAGGGATTTAGGTTAAATGCAAGAAAGAATTTATTTATAAGATTTGTAGATGTTGGTGTGGTATAAAGAGAAAAAATAGCATAATCACCTTTCCTGGAGGCTTTTTATTTAATAAGACGGATCTTTCTGTTTAGAATGATTTAGGTGTAGTGTTGCTTGAAGGAGGAAGTCAGATCTGCTAACACCTTTTCCTGTCCTGTGATTTTAATCATGATTTTAGTTTTTGATCAGTCAATGCCTGAGCACTTTGCAGTTCATTAGGGATAATTGCCACCTTGCCCCATATTGCCATAGCTATTACTACTGTTAATTTTTACTTCCACATTCATGTACATTTCCCAGTGACAGTAGGGGGCTACTTTCATACAGTTAGCTGCCCTGTGTTACATAATGCAAGTGCTGCTATTTTTAAAACCTTATGAGAGATTCTGCCTTAAGCCAGAACTACAAGTCTGAATCCAATTTACCAATCTTCTGGAAAATCAAAGATAATCAATGTTCCCCTTTGGGACCACAGGGACTAAATCATTTACTTTCCAGATTGTTTATCTTCTTCTGTATTTATTATAACTATTCCAATAGAATATAAGCTTCTTGAGGGCAGGATCTGTTACCTTTTTTTGACCTTGCATTATGCTTGGCACATAGCAAACGCTTAATAAAGGCTTGAAGTGACCAAGCATTATGTAATAACGGTAATTATTACAATAATTTAAGGATCCATGAGTTAGAAAATGGCAAAATAAGTTAGACACAGTTCCTACCAACTTGACACAAAGTTGAATGTCTTTACACTCTGGGGAAGAAATATTGCTTGATCTACCTGTCTAATCTATCCATTGATTCTTAGGGGACATAGAGATACAAAAAGTGTGTTAGTGTTTGAGAATACATCATTTTCAGCATAGCATAGGTACACACATAACTGAGAGGGAAAACGTTTCTAAGGAGAGCGATACAAATTGTTTACATGGGAAGAAGGATGGCATTACTATACAATTTACGGTTTAAAGACTCATTCTGTTCTGAACCTGTATTTAATCTATACCCATCTACCAAATGAATAAAACTTGTCCATGTTTTCCATGTTTTATTACAGATACACACCTTTAAAAAATCCAACAACCTAAAGAATTGTCATAATCATAGAGATATTATTTCCTCCTTAGATCTGCACAGTGTAAAACAAAGCAAAGAAGCCCTCTTCATTAAGTACTGCTTAGTAAGTACTGCTGTGACAAAAGGAACTCTGTCCTGCTGGGTCCTGCTCCACCTCCCCTTATATTATCAGCTTGATTTGGCTTAAAGCATTTGTCTGAGTCTTGGTTTCCCTTCAAGCTGGCGCTGGCACCCTCTCCAATCCTTACCCCTGAAATTACATTTACTCCTACCCCCCTAGGTCCAGACTGAGCTATCTCTTTTTAACAGCCTTAATCCCTGTACAAGGAAGGTTCTTTTCTGTCTGAGGCCCAGACTGATTCCTTAGTTTCAGACTGATGCATCCCTCCTCAAAGCCACCTGGACCCCAATTTTGGCAGTATTCCCTGGACTCTGCCCACAGAAATTCCCTCAACTAGCCTCTTTTCATTCTGGGCATATGGCCTGCTTCCAGCCTTTCATGACTGTGCTTCAGCAACCATCCTCATCTGCTCCTGCTTTAAACACCCTTCTCTAGAGAGATGATTCCCTCTCCACCTCCCTATCCCCTGTTCCTGCAGTCTTAATCAGCTCCTTCTGGGGTTCTCCCTCAGCTTTCTGAGCTTATCTCAGCCATTTCTGCAAACTTTCACTTTTAGGCCACTGCCTCTAGGGAGCTTACATGCTTAAAGGAGGAATAACCTATAAAGGGGACTCTATATTGTTAAAGGGGGAGCAAGACATAAAGGAGAGTTGGAAAGTAGTGGAAGTTGGGGGAAGGCTACCTATGAAAGGGCAAAAAAGAATAGAGGAGGAAAAAGCTGGAAATTAGAGTCAGGAGTGAAAGGAAGCACGGCTGGAGCTTCTCCGGAAATAGTGATCCAGGCAGGCTATCACCAATCAGAAGAGTCTGGTCTCAAGGCTAAAGTTTTTCCAGGGTAGAAGACAGCTGGGGAGGACAGAAAGGCAGGAGAGTTGAGTTGGTAGCAAAGAATACATAGAATTCAACTGCAGCTTATTCACTTTTCATTCTTTCATAGTAATACTTAAGAGTTTTCAAACTTCAGTAATTTCTGAGGTTTTTTGTTTCCTTTTTTATTCATTTGTTTCAAACCTCAGTAATTTCTGAGTTTTTATTTGTTTCCTTTTTTATTCATTTATTTGGCTGTGTCCTCCTCTATAACATTTTAATAGAGCCATACAATACTTTTGGGGGTAAGTTGGCAGGCTGATGTGGGAGGTGATACGGTTAAGTATAGCGCTGTCCCATTTATGAGTTGAGTTGATCCTTCCCTGGAAAATAAATCCTTGTATACTAATTTGTGTTGTATATGTCTAGCTTATTTATTTTACCCTAGAACTGAAAACCAAATTAAAAGTGACCATTGTCAGCCCCTTTTAAAGCTATTCTGTCTTTTCATTGATAAGGGAATCTTAGCCCTATTGATTATTCTCCCTTCCTAGATGAGGATCTGAATGTGTGATAATATGTGCTGAATTGGTTGTTTGCTTTTTAATTGGTGAAAAAAAATTTAATGCCTCAGGTTGAGACAGCTAGTTATTTGCTTAGTAGACTGGGGAAGTGGGGAGAATGAAGCATGTCAATTCAAGAACAATGGGCTAAGTAGTATATCTAGCTGACTAATAAATCTACAATCATATTACCTCAGGCTGGAGTGCTGTCATATTTCATAAGTGGAGTCAGAATTGGTCAAGAGTTTGATTAGGGACAATGAACAAAAATAATAGATCTCAGAAAGTAATTTCGATGATTTGAAAAGTCACATTGTCCTTCTGAATAAGACCTGAAAGATTGTTATTGATATCACTATTATTTCTTTTATTACTTAATAAGCACTTGTAATTCTAATAGTTGCTATACAAGACTGAGCATAGGTTCCTGTCATATGATAAGGTCTAGATTTGAAATGAAACATATATGACATGATATTCAAACCTAACCACCTCAGATCCCAGTGGAGGCTACCCAGAACGCTGTTGTACCTAATGAGCCCCAGGAATAGCAACCCCTCCTCTTAGGACACCAGCCCTCCCTTCCAGCCTAGCCCTCAGAACCATTATCCAGGGTGCACCTCTTTTGATGATAAGACTTAGCAACTGCCTCTGTAGGTGCTGAAGCATACTTCCCCATCCTTAGCTACTAAAGACTGGGAAAAGAAACCCTATATTGAAGGCACTGTGGTAGGAAACTGGCATACAAAGGTAAAACATAAATACAGGATAAATAGATAACTGATTTAAATAGGAAATCCATTGAAATAGCTAAAATTAGTGTGAGTAAAGAGAAGAGACAATCTAAGAGGTAAAAATACATAAAAAGAAAGTTAAAATCTCAAACCCAGAAAATACGTTCCACTCTATTTATCCTGGGGATTCATGAGTACTATTACTGATGGACAGCAAAGACCAATGAACGTGCTGCTGATAAAAATATTTTAGTTGCAGATAGCTTGGGACTTAACAAATCGAAATGACATCATCAAAATGTACATGTAGAATAAATTGTCAAGATAAGGGAATTTTGCAGAGAAACATTAATGCCTTTAACAAACAAAACCAAACTTTAAAAAAATGACATGGAAATAATATAAATTTCAGATGAGAAACATTGGTGCTACCTGTAGCAATTGATATTGCTAAAAACGATGTT